GGGTTTAGGGTTTGGGGTTTGGGGTTTAGGGGACCCTAAATTATAAGGGCATAAGGGTACCACTCAGGAACCTAGAAAGTGTCTCGGACCCTACCGCCAGGCTCAATATATAGCACCACTATGAACTTAGGTCCCAACAACTTAATAGGGATGGGATGGCCTTTCAGTGTTTAACTATTTAAAGCATAAAGCGAGTACCCTAAGCCTCAAACCTCAACGCTGAACTCTAAACTCTGAACCCTAACTCCCTAAACCTGAACCTCTTGGTTGCTTACCTTTCCGTGAGGAAAAGGATTGGATTTTGCAGTTTTGCAGTCCCATAGGTTTCAGGCTATAAGTACCCCAAGTGGGGATACAAGTAGATATCAGTTACCTTAATCATAACCCTAGTTGCTAAGTCCCATGATCCTCTAAGTAGGGGTTTGTGTTTCGGGCCGAGGGTTCAGGGTAAATGAATGCGACTTGAATGAATAACCCTGGAGGTCCATGTATCCAAATTGCACATAGTTCGACCACCAAAATACCTTTATGGGGACTACCTTAAGGCCAAAGTACACACCAATTATGTATTTTGGAGTTCACGGAACGTAAGCGTGATTACTTCCTTGAACTACCATAACCCGACTTCTTGTAGCCCATAAGCATAAACACTAGTTTGAAATGTAAAGGCATCCTACACACACACACACATAGGTTTCGCTAGGTAAATCTTGGACCAACAGGATTGGAATGACCTGTAAAGTCTCCCTACCCTGAGAAAATCCTGAAGACTCCACATGACACCCTCCGCCCTTAACCCTAAACCCCTCAACCAACCCTAAACCCTAAACCCCAAATCCTAAACGCCTCAACCATAACCCTTGGCATCTATTACCTCTACAAGCCCTATTCAGCAGCCACCAGGCCCGCAAACGACGTGGATAAACCCTCAAAGTGTAGACCCTGAACCCTTAACCCACCTTAAACCCAAGCCCTTGTTAAAACCTATAATGGGGCTACTCAGGAACCTAGCTTGACATTGTGAGATCACTAGCCCTTAGGTTTCTTCACGACCCTTAAACCTGAAAAATGATGGACTCCAAAGCCACGAAGGGTCTGTGTACCTATAGGGGTTTGGTTCAGGGGTTTTGGTGTTGGGTTTCTGGGTGTTGGCTATAGGCTAAATGTGCCACGGTATGTAATATATAGACACATGAGCCCTTAGAGAACGTGAACTCCCGAGGATTTGTTCAGGTAGTCGCCTTTGTGCCCTTGCATAACCCTAACCCTAAACCCTAAACTAAGCCCTAAACCCTAAACTAAGCCCTAAATCCTAAACCATGAATGCGCACCAGTGAGCCCAGCCTGTGCCTGCTTCCAGCTGAATTTGATGCAGTTTTTAGGATTTAGTGCTTCAGTCGATAAAACTGAACCGTACACCTTACGGTTCCTTCAAAGGGTACTATAAGGATACTATAAGGGTACTATACTTAATTGTAGGGCCCTTGTAATTAGAACAGGGTTTTAGCTTACACTTTCAAGCATTGAAGAATACTTTTTCTTGGAGATGCACAGCGCATATCTGCACCACCGTCAAGTCTCTAGACCGTAGCAGCTCGACCTTGAACCCCCCTAAAGCCTCTGAGAGCTGAGCCCAAAATTTACCCGAAACCCTAAACCCTAGTCTAAAGAACCTACCTCTTTAGGGTTCCTTATTATGATTTCCTTATATAGGTCCTTCAAAGGGTAGGCTATTTGGGGTTAAGGCTAACCGTAAGCCCTGAACACCAAACCCGATAATTACCATAACACCCCAGACCTTCCAAAATCCCTTAATTCGGGAATATCCCTTAAATTATAGTAGGTTCCTTAATCTGATTTAAGGCAGATTCCCTAATTAAGGGGGTTTGGAGGGTCTGGGACCCTCAAGCTCCCTACTAGCTTCAGCCCAGGCACTGACCCCGGACATACCGTGAACACGAAGCCACAAAACCCGTGCACCCTAAACTCGGGTTAAGGGTGTGAGCTTCAAGGTTTAGAGTTTAGGGTTCAAGGATTAGGGCCTGGGTTTAGGGTGTCTATTGTGAGGCGATAACCCGAACTTCTTTTGAGTTTGTTTCGGGCTGCAGCGATGGCATGAACTCGGCTTTCTTAAATGCTTGCCTGGCCGTGCCTTGGACCAAGGGTTTAGGGTTGAGGGTTTGGGCTGTTGGGTTTTGGGATTTGGGTTTTTGCGTTTCTGGGTTTGGGGCTTATGATTTCGGTTTGGGATGGTTTGGGGTTTGCGGCTTAGTGGCTTTAAGGGACTGATGTCAACACAATACGGGTACTGCGTTACAACGGTTAGGATCCTTGAATGATGTTGACATGCCCAGTTTGGCGTCACTTTTGGTGGTTTTCAATAGGTTCACCGTCTGCTTGATCCTGGTGCCGCTCACGATCTGTTTTTGTTTGCTTAGCTTTAGAGTTTGGTTTCGCGCTGCATGCTCTGGGCTCTAGTTGGTGCTGGCATTCTAAAACCTATAAACCCTAATTAATCCCTTCACCTTCTATATCTTCAACACGAAACTGCCATTATAAGCCCAACGCCCACACCCTTAACCTAAACCATCGGAAATCTCAACTACCAAACATCTAAACCCATGAAATCTCATCCCGCAGCTCCAAACCCTGAAACTCTGGGTTCCGTAACTTGCTTTTGGATCCAGCAAGGGTAGCGTGCTCATACTGACATGCTGCATTGGGTACAGGAACCTTCTTGTATACAACTTGCTGGTGTGGATTAAGTTCTGTGGTCCACTGGACCCTGCCAGCGCCCTCTACAGCCATGACTGAGACTCAGAGCCTCATGGCAGCTCAAAGCAACCGTAAACCGCCACCGAGCTTCCTGAAAGACTTGGATTGGAACGAGTTCGAAGCAGCTGCCATACCATTGGCACTGCTCTACAACCCACCGCAGCTGGTCAGCAGCTGTACCGGATTTGGCGCTCGCCTCTCCATGTGCTGGAACAGCCTCTTCACCCATCGGGCGCCGATCTGCGCGAAGCCTGTGATACCGTGCTGTTGTGCAAAGGCAGCGCAGTCACGGATTGCGGATTTGGCAGCAGTGAAGTTCTCCGATCCAGACGACTGGTTTGTGAAGATGCTCAGCGTTGAGCACCCCAACACTCCGGAGTTCTTGAAGGGCTTGTTTCTTGGGTTCTTCTGGTTGGCTCTTTAGACTTTAACTTTTGGGGTTTCTATATGAACTATAATAAGGAGGCTAAAAGTTTAACTGTAAGGAGGGGTTCAGAAGTCAGCCAAGGTTTTGGATGGAGGACAACTATGCTCCCGAAGTGGTGTTGACCTTTCAAGATATGGACTGGGTCTCGGGAAAGCAAGGATACTTCATGCCGAAGTATAGTTGGACAAATGATCCATCTTGCATTGGAACAGTCTGCCTGTGCATAAATTTCAGAGGCTCTCCAGCTTCTGCGTGGCCGTTTAATATCTCACCCAACGACAGGTGGATCAACATCGACCCACAATGGATCTACAGGCCTGCAGAGGGCGAGAAGATCACTCGACCAGATGGTTCTATTGTGGAGATGGCAGAAGCGGACATGATTCGAATCAGTTTTAACAATCCGAGTGATCCGACTTCAGGAGTGAACTATCAGTACCTCGTACGGCGCGTGGCCTACATGCAGAATGGCAAACTCATGAAGACGAAGGCGTATGATGAGCTCCTCCGGAGAGCAACAATGCCGGACACCATTGGTGGCTGCTGTGGCGGCTACTACAACTGTTCGCCTGTAGGAGAGAACTACATCTTCGACGCCTACGAACCATTATCAGATGACCAGGTACTCCTCTTCCCCCCGCCCCTGGAAGTCATGTGGCCCGACAGTGTTATCCCGGATGCTGCACCTGCCAGACGCTGAGAGGGATGACGGCTGGAGTCTCTCTTGTTAGTGTTAGTACAAGATTACGATTGCTGTTTGTCTTTGTTACATTATGATTATCAATGCCCTGGTGATTATCATCAATACTGTTATACTTCATATCGTCATTCTGATCATTACGAGTACTACTACTGGTACTCCTACTAACTACTACTACTACTACTACTACTACTACTACTACTACTACTACTACTACTACTACTACTAATACTAATACTAACTACTAATAACTACTACGACGACGATGATTGTTTTGCAACGTCGATCAGGGCTGGCGGTGGGGGGAGAGCATCTGACGAGTACATGTCTCGTCGCTTTCAACCCGCTCATCAAACTCTGTACGAGCAGTTTCACGGTGTAAAAAGAAGCCAGGCTCCTGAGTGGTACCGTTTTGCCATTTCATGTTACGATCCCCTTTTCAAACCGAATTCTAGGAAAAACTGGTACCCTTATTACAAAGGGGCTGCTGAGGAACCTGGGAAGTGATCCTTGATGCGAGTCACATGAGCCACTTCGCGCCCTATATATACTACGTCAGGCTCTTCTTGGGGTTAGGGTTTGGGATGTAGGTTTCAGGACTTCTCGGGTACATTCTGGGATTGTCTTTGCGGAATATCAATCCTTGGTAGGGACCTGAAAAGCAGACACATTTGCTTACCGCTTACCTGGGCCTACCTTCCAAGCGGAATGGAGCGTAGGTGCGACTCTGCCTTTGGGAGCCCACTTACCTGCGTAGTGGGTTACCATTCCAAGAGAAACATCCCATGCTATTGTCTTTGGAGTTGTTGAGGTTTTAGGGTCGAACAGACAGACGTGTAACTTTAGTATTTGACGGAGACCTCGAGTACGTTTAGTATAATCAGTCTGAAGGGCTTAAACTCAGAACCGGAAAGCCCAAATCCTAGAGTCCAAAGCCCAAATCCCAACACCCAAACCCCAAAAACCTAAACCCCTAAACCCCCAAAAACCACTGAAACCTTAAACCCCAAAAGCAACGACCCGACATCCGTCATCCGAAAACCCCGTATCCCGCCCAGGAGCACAGTGACATTCTTCGTGCCGGCCGATTGCGCGTGAATGGAGAGGTGCCTTTTCTCGGTGCTTAGGGGTTTAGGGCTTATAGGCTTATAGCGATTCGGGAACGGTCTAGGGTTTAAAGGTTAGGGTTTTCTCTTGATCCTAAGCCCTAATTGTTCAATTCGTAACAACTGTTGCCGTTTACATGAGCCGGGAGGGTCGGGTTTAGGGTCTAGGGTCTAGGGGTTTAGGGTTTAGGGTTTAGGGTGTAGGGTTTAGGGTTTAGGGTTGAGGTTTAAAGTTTAAGGTATACGGTCTAACGTAATTTAGGGTTTGGGGCGCAGGATGTCTGGTGTTGAGCGATCAGCAGCTGTTGCTTGTTGGCCGGATGGGACTAGGGTTGCATGTTTGTGGGAATTGGGGTTTAGGGTTTAGGGTTTAGGGGTTTAGGGTTTAGGGTTTAGGGAATTGGGGCTTTAGATTCTCCTGGATATGAAAAACTACAATTTTAAATAATTAAGTTTCATCCGTCGTTGTAAGCTTCGTTTCTGGACTCCTAAAGGAAGTTGGTTCGCACGCGATGGTTTAGGGCTCAGGGTTCGGGCGCAAGAGATTCGGGTTTAGGGTTTGGGAGGTTTTAGGGGTTAGGGGTTTAGGTTTAATTAAGGTTTCGAGAACTCTGATTGGTTGGAACAGGCCATCAAGACGATATTGCTGGTGTCCAATGCGTTACTTTATGGGCATGAACAACAATGTTGCTGCAAGTCTTCTTCGAAGTATTGAGGCCCTCGAAGAAATTTCATGACATGAGGAAAACGATACTCCAACTTCTTTAAATTCTGGCAAGCTGCTCTACGCAGATTGAAAGCACAGCCTGATGGAGTTAGAGGCTTGAGGGTTGAGTTTTAGCTGTTGGGTAGCCGAAAGTCGTGTTATTTGCACATCCACTTGTATATACCCTGAGTCCCTATAGTATAATATTTAACCTTAATATAGCTACTAGCTACTATCTGCCCTTTACATAGCCCGTTATAGGGTAGGGATCCCCATTTAGGGGGGGTATAGCCTACACCCAAGGCTCTCGCTAGAAACCATGAGCCTTTCAACCCCTACACGCATATCTACATAATTCCCTCTGGCTCCACGTTCCTAATTAGTAGGGTACTAACCATAGAACATATAGCCCAGTGGCCCATTACATAGGTAACTGGAGCCCTAGGGGTTGTGATGCGAATAAAGCCAACATCGAGAATGCTAACCAAAATACTGAATAAGCTGCCTTCAGAGCTTAGGTGCTTAGAGGCGGGTGTTTAGGGTTTAGGGTTTATGATTTAGTGCTTAGGGTTTAGGATTTAGGGTTTAGTGTTCAGGGTTAAGGGTTTAGTGAAGGTTAGTGTTTAGGGTTTAGGGGTTTTGGTTTTAGGGTAGCATCGTCAAGCAGGTACTCGAGTGGGCGCCCACCAGCCAGGCCTGCCATTCCGATCAGCAAAGGACTCTAAAAAGGGTCAGTTAGACCAAGGGTCCAAAGGACACAATGATTAGGTACTCGGTTTTGGGATAGTTATGTAGCTTAGGATTTTGGAGAGTATATGTTTATGAGGTACATGGACCCTTGGGGTTAGACCCAGTAGATATGCTCTTGGGTTTAAGAGATAGTAGTATCGCATACCGGGGAGCGTAGTGATGATGAGTAGATCCTGCGGCCTTAAACAATGTAACAACAGATGGCTAAGCTACTGTAGTTGAGGGGTGTGGGATTTGGGGGCAGTGGCTGTGGCACGTCCTGACTCCGTGTAGGGCTTCGATTGAGGCTTGCAAGCTGACATTGACTATCACGACCATTACTCCGGATATTGTTAAACTTGAGGGCCCAAGCGCCCAACATTTTTTTACTTGAATGCCCAGGTTCATGCACCGTCTGATTTCTTCACGCAGTGCAACACTCATGGTTTAGGGCGCTGAGGGTTGAAGATCCGCCGGCCTTTAGATTGGTTCGGATCGGGGCGTACCAAAGCTCTGAAGGACCTTTTTCAGAGACCTTTATGAGTATTAGGTAGGGAACGAGGCTAGTTGAAGGTGTAGGGCTAGGCGTTGTAGTTACGATGTCGCCTAAGCCCTAAACTTTTCCTAAACCCTTAACATAGTCCCTGTGTTAGCGTCGCCGGCCTAAATCCCAAAGGCTCCACACATAAATGGAATCATTACATCGCATGGAGGTAGAGGCTTCGTTGCCGAGTCATTGACTAACCGCCATTTCCGCTCCCCTTCCCTCTTCTGATTCTGATCGTAATATAATATATTAATTGCTATTTCGGGTGCAACGAGCTCACACTAACTGTGGACCTGAGACCCAAGTCCAAAGTGTCAAAATGCATTGCACCCCGGAGAATGCGGCAGTATTTCTTGTCAGGCAGGTTTAGGGTATATGGTTTAGGGTTTACGGTATAAGGGTCCAAGTGACCCAATAATTAGGTACTCGGTTTTGGGATAGTAGTCATGTAGGTTAGGGTTTTGGAGAGTATATGATTATTTGGTACTTGGGCCCTTGGGGGTATGGCCGTAGACATGAAGGGGACGATCCCTGCAAGCCCGCGAACAACAGTCAGAAGACCATAACCATGCAGAAATGGCATTTGCCCCGATTTCCAAGGCCAGAACCTGCTGTTTTGCAGGTGTTTGTATTTTGTGGAAGATGTAGCTAGTCTACTGCACCTACCGTCGTTCATTGGCTCAAGAAAATATGCGTCTGCATTCTGGCTGTTCTGCCTGTAAACATAGGTTATCAGCCGTAGGTCTCACTTCGTTTGTAGATCGCGATGGATGCTCCCGTAAATCCTGCAGGTATTCCCGCGATAGACATTTCCGCGGCTCGCGTCGATACCGAGGATCTTACTTCTCTTCCTGCCATGTCCGTCCAAGACGATGGCACGGATCAGGTTGTCCCCGGTACCCGAGAGGGTGGCCAAGTTGTTCCTCTGACGGCAGAGGCCTTGGCCGTGATGGCCCAAACAGATCCCCGAAGAGGTGCACCAGGAGCGGTGTCAGAATTGGCCTATGTCTCGAGCCCAGCGCACCAACTCGCATCCCTGGCGGGATCGCCTCAACAATATAATACGGCCCAATATTCACCCAGCGAGATCAGAAACGTCGCGAACTACTATCAACAAAATGTCCTTGCGCCAACGGTGCAACAAGCAGTCCATGTGCATCAAGTAGACACAGGACCAGCCGTTGCAGCTGAAGCTGAAGCACGCCACAGATTGATCATGGCAGAAGCAAACAATTTGCATAGGGAGCAATTCAACCAGCTTCATGCACAGGCGCTATCCGGTGCTGCCCAACTTCGGTTGGAGTTCGCCCAAGCGGAGAGTCGTCTGCAACAGAAAGAAGAAATGCTTCGAGCAGCCGGCGAAAGCATGGCTAATAAGCACAGCGACGAGTTGTCGCAGATGCGACGTGAAGCCATTGACTACAAGCTCAGGCTTCATCAGGCTGAGGTTACAGTCTCCGACGTTGTAGCCCAAGCTGAAAGAGAGCTGGCTAATCGAAGTCGGGCTAGCCAAGACACCGTTGCAGTCATGAATGGCGAACTAAGCCAACTCAAGTCTGAGATGGGTGCATTCATGCAAGTGCATCGCCAACAGGCTGAGTCGATGACGAAGCTTGAGCGTACCAATGCCGAGCTTCGTGATCGCCTGGCGAAAGCCACGGCATATTCACCAACTGCCGTAGGAGATCAGTCTCCCATCGAACACCCCATTCATACCCCTCCGGGTCTGGGTAAAGTAGATGGTGGCCCGCCAGGCGGAGGTGGAGGTGGAGATGACTCGCCTCCCGAAAGCGACGGCGACGAGGATGAGCCCGAAGACGATTCACGTGACAAGAAGAAGAAAAAGAAAAAGGACAAAAAGAAGAAAAAGAAAAGAGACTCATCTGATTCATCATCATCGTCGTCTATCTCCCTATCTAAAAAGGACCTCCTGAAGATGTTCAAGAAAGTCGTTAAGTCTAAGAAAGACAAGGACGATGTCGAGGAAACCGAGGCGACAAGGGGAAGGCCCAAGGTGAAGGAAGCTGAGAAGATTGTGTTTCCGAAGTTTCCCCAGCCAGAGAACTATCGTAACTGGAGGCTTCGCGCACGCGAGGCTGTGGTCGCCGCCTCTGACCGTCCCGATGAGGCTTTCGAGTGGCTCGGTGAAGTGTGGAAGGACGATACCACGGAAGAGTCCCTTCGTGATCCCAACGGATTCACAACGCTTGATGCGAAGATCCTCTCGGCAATCACAAACATTCTGGAAGGTGATTTTGCTCGCCAGATTGACACTTTTAAAGAGAGGGAAGGGCACGAAGGACGCTTAGTCCGTGGCCGGCAGATTTTGCATAAGCTTAACGCTTATTTGTCGACCAACGCACTCCACGGGTCTGTGTACGATATGGAGGATCTGCTCAATGTCGTCATGCTTAACGAAAACCTCGTGCAATTCGTGCGTAACTGGGATACTGTTCTCTCAGGCATGAAGAAAGCACTTGCTGACGATGTTTTGCAACCCTTGTTTCATAGACAGGTTAAGAAGTGTAAGCTTTTGGCGCACGACATCGCCATCTATGAAAGGGCAGTAGACGGCACACAGGAGAAATCCTATGAATATTTGTACAATGCCGTTAACCGAGTCATCAAGATCAAACGGCTTGAGCGCAACCGGGAACGGATTGCAAGGCAGGCCGCAGCAGGTATGCCATCGGCACCCGCACCGCTAAAGCGTGTGCCCAAAGGCTTCTGCATTGACTTTGTTCGGAACGGTTCGTGCAACAAAGAGAAATGTTCCCATAAGCATCAGATACCCGAGAAGCCACGTGGTAGGACACCAAGCAAAGGTAAAGGCCGAGGCAAGTCGCCCTCCGCAAGGGGGAGCCCATCTCCTGGGAAGATTAATGCTGAGTGCAAATTCTTCAAGCATGGTAAATGCAACAAGGGTGATAAGTGCCGTTTCATACACAAAGGCCAGCCTTCTGCTCCTGCCACTGGTAGCGGTAGAGAGTCTAGCGGCGAAAAGAAGAGTAAGAAACAGAAGAAAGAAAAGAAGCATAGGAAGAAGTCTCGTTCCAGCTCTAAAAGTTCCAAGGGTAGTGGAGGCTCCAAGGGGAGCAAAGGCTCTGGGAACAGCAAGGGCTCGGGGGGGCGGAAACCTAAGGCTTCACTTCCTGCCGCCGTCTGCCTCTTAGGCGCACTTGTTGCAGGTTCGGCATCCCAAGCCGATGCACACGCTTTCCGGAAGGAAATGCCGAACTTCATTGACTCGTGTGCAAGCACCGCTCACATTGCTCTGGCATCTGTGCGATTCTCGAATGCTCCTGAGTATCACTACATTCCCACGCCCCCTGAATCTTCCAAGTGGCGTGAGGTTGAAATCGAGCCGAGGGTTTTCAGTGAAGAATTTCCTGTTAACTACAAGCCCAAGCCTGATGGGCAGGATGTTCGGGATGCTTTGGCGACAGCAAAGATGCTGAGGTCAACCGTTGAGGGTATGAATCAAGGTACGAATCCAGCATGTAAGTTCATGTGTAAGACTGAGTTCGGTTGTGCTCATTGCATTGCGCCCGGCATATCTGTCGGATGCCCGGCAAAGGGGAGCAGGTCAGATCCTGTGATTGAAATGGAATGGATTGCCGACACTGGCAGTGCTCAGGATTTGATATCGAAAAACGTTCTCGGTGATGTAAAGGATTTCTTGTCGGATCGGCCTATCAACATGATTACCGCCAACGGACCTAACTATGCTGACAAACAATGCAAGGTTAGGATTCCTTCGATCAATACGACCGCCGAACCATATGTTCTACCCGACTCACCATCCGTTCTCTCGGTTGGACAGAAGTGCATGGAGGAAGGGTTTGACTTTATCTGGAGAGCTAATTGTAGACCCTACTTCAGGGATCACAACGGGAACAAGGTTTATCTCGATGTGAAGGACAATGTTCCCTACCTGAAGTCTTGGAAGGAAAACGTTGCGCTTCCCGCGCGACCACGTCCGGAGCCCAGCCTTCCTGCACCGCCGGCTGAGAAACCTGGCAAATGTGTTGAGGAGTCAGAGAGGATTGCAAAAGAGTTACTTGAGAGCCTTGACTTCCAGTGTAAGTCTTGTCTGAAGCTACTGCAATCTATGAACTGCAAGCCCTCCAAGAGCAATCGTAAGTCAATTACAAACAATGAGAGTCGCACCGACGGAAACGTCGAGTACCTTGTGCTTGGCGCATTCGCTCATGGTGGCGTCCAGGGCATTACTAACCGTACACAGAAGTATGCCCATTCTACCCGATACATAAATGCATTCCTCCAGAACCATGGAATGACGGGAGATTGCTCATCGGTTTGCATCAATCACGGTTCGTCCGTTAAGGTTCACAAGGATGCTCACAACATGAAAGATTCCACCAACTTCACTATCAGTCTTGGCAGCTTCGAAGGTG